AATGATGAGAGAAAGAGATTGTATTCATTTGAATCACGCAATCTAATTAATCGAGTAATGAGATTCTGAGGCATATATAGATTACGAAGTGCTCCATTGGTAGAGCTTTTGAATGACCACTCATGTGGAACTATATGGTGAATATAAGTGATCAATAACGTATGTGGTATCATTCTTATGGCACAATCCGTGCCATAAAAAGAATTCATTAACTGGAAAGTCTATTAAACCCGTGTTTTGATGTACGCAATTTGGTTGTATACGCGAAGGCTTCGATGAATTCTAGAAAATCCAGCAATAAGACGCAGGTTATTAAAAGAATCGGTTGAATGGAACATCCGTTGGAGTTATCGTTTGCTCGGTTAGATGTTATTCATCCGCCGAATGAGAAAATTCACAAGGCCCAAAGGGAGTTAAATGAGGTTGGTTTATTGGACAGTTTAATTGCGATTCGATGACGCAGAAGGGATGGAAGATATTAAAAAACATGGGAAAATGTTCGAACATGTAAATGTAGTCACAAATTTGTAGAAAATTTTTGCTGATTTCGAGAAGAGTTGATGAATAATGGAATCTTTCACGTCACATAGAAAAAGACAAATATTTTTAGCTGTGATCAACATCCAGCAAGCGATTTCGGCCCTCTTTTCGCCATACCTGTTGCAGATATTGTGGATGATTTAGACGCCATTCACAGAAAAAAATATATGTTTTTCTATGAATAGTAAGTCATGTGTGAAGCGGGTTCTTTGTAGGTGAAAGATATTGTTCGGAATAATATTCAGTTGGTAATGCAACGTAACGAGAAGCTCGATGCACTGAAGGCTCGTGCAGGTTTGAAAACCAGTTTTAATCGCTGTTTGAACGTTTAACAGCAATGTGAGAAATGTTCTCAATGAGTTGCTTGTATGTGCCGATGAGCAAGATGACATGTGTTCAATAAAGAAACAACTACATTGAATAAAAACGCATTCTTTTGTAAAATAATGATATTTTGTTGTGAGTAATTAACCGAGTAATTAAAATAGTTTTGTAACTCCTCCATGTACTTTGCCCATGAAAATGATCGAGCGGAAATCTGCAAACTGGTTAAAATTTTGGAGGTGTGATGGAAGCTGGAGCAGCTCAGTTCACGTTGAATGCAACAAACTTTCGACGTAAACTTTGGTGGAAAAGTGTTCGGACGATGACAACATTAGTCGCATTGTGCATATTTTCAGTTGTCGGCACTATCGGTAGACCACTTCATTCCCTAATTGCTTCATTTTGTTGAAACATTGCTCAGAGCAGAGTAGAATTTGATATGTTGTCAAAGAATTGAGTAACAGACAAGAACGCCTTGAAGAACAAGGCAAAATGTGCGTATAATACGCAAAAAATTTTTTTCAATCTAAAAAGCAAGTGAGTTTCTCATAAAGATATTCCATCTGAAATGTATTTCCCAAGTCACTTTCAAATTATTTTGTTTCATTCAGAATACTTTCAGTGTATATAATTGGATCAAGCAACAAAAGCAACATATAGTTCAAATGTTTTCGTTTCCTAACAGATAAAGTTTCGCAAATAAAATTTTTTCTTGACGTCAGTGATTCAGCCGCATATACGCTGTGATTCAGCTAACGTTTTCCTGAGTGTATCCAGAAGGGACGAAGAATCATCTACTAAAAGTGCGATTAGAATGAAGCACAGAAAAGTTTCGAGATGTTAAAGGCAAAGTTCCGTGAAATGAGAAAACTGGTAAAAAAATATTGGGTTGCGGAACTTGTGTACTAGCAATCTATGATTTTGTCCACATTAAAAAGCATCCAGCTAATGGTTGTCGAATCCGAAGAATATTTAAGACAAGCACTTTTCATCCGTGTTCAAAGCGATTAGGGTTACCGGAAAACCTTATTTCATTCGCATTAAACTCTTCAATCTGCGTCATCAACTAAAATTTCGTTAATAACTTAAGTTCATTTGGAAATTTCATTAGTAAATGATCACAAAACAACTTCTCGATTTTGTTGAATATCATTTATTGCAATGGATAATTGTCCGCGAGGAAAGGCGATAGCGCAGGGAATGTAATAACTTTTGAGATAATCCATTTCAAATGCAATGAACACATTATTAACTCAACAGAAAGACATAAAATCTTGAGAGGTCTCATGNAAGTGCGCCTTGAGAGATTGCGCAGACTGGTGTTCAATCGAAATTGCTTACTGTTTAGCAATAGCACGTGATGGGAAACAGTAGCAAAATGCTGACTAATAATCAGTTCATGTAATTCAATGCTACTAATAATCAGTGCTAACTAATTTGTGTTTATGTGATTTGAAATGTATTTCATTAAATTATTTAATGTATTAAATAATTTAATGAAGTACATTTCAAATTACATGCCAGCGTTGTTTGACACAGCTAATTGCACAGGAAGTTGAACGCTGCGATAAGTGTGATAATTAGTGGAATAAATTTCGCTTAATTATTGCCGTTAATGAATACGATGATGACGCAACAAAACGGTTCCGTTTAAATGAATATTCCAATTACGTCTGTAAAATCATAGCATGATATCTGAAGATATAGAGAAGCATTAATGAAAAAGAAGCATTTGTTTAGCAATTCACAAATTGCTCATTACTGGCGTACCGATCGTTCGAGATGCTCCTAGCGTTCAACGCTATCGTTAAAAAATGAGGTGAGTCAAGTGAACAATTCGAATTTGTTTTCAAGTGGGCAAGACACAAAACTGATTATTAGTTATCATTTTGCTACTGTTTCCCACCACGTGCTATTGTTAAACAGTAAGCAATTTCGTTTGAACACCAATCTGAGCAATCTCTCAAAATTCCATGAGACCTCTCAAGATTTTATGTCTTTTTGTTGAGTTAATAATGTGTTCAATGTTCTATTGTTCTATTGCTGTCAAAGAGTATCTTGTAGAGCTACGAAAAAAAATTCACTATATCATTAGTTGTCCAATATTTCACTATAGGTCACCTTCTAACATTCAGAATGAATTACGCTTAAATCGTGTCTTGAGAAGATTTTACTGACAATCAGTGGGACAACTGGGTGAATCACTGGAAAATAGCTATGTTAAAAATGTTTTTGATTTTTGAAAACAACTGTGCGGTATGAATGAACACTAGAAGAAGTTTCACTGATGAGCAAAAGAATGGCTCACTCGTTCAGCTGCTTTCCATTCAAGTTTTTTCGTGTGAAGGAAGCGTCAAAGCGCTGAGAATAAAGCACAAGAAACATGTATTCATCACGGAATGCACATACATCAATGCATCAGTTCGCTTGCGAGGCAAATTAATCAACTAACCCCTCAACAACTCGTTCTCATGATTTGCCGTTTCGTTATTTGTTCAGCAAACAATGTAGAAATACGAACTTTTTACGCAACCACGTTACTCGTTCCTATTGATCGAAGTTCTTCTTTGAATCAATGCTGTTTAAATTAATTGTTGCCACTAGGCGACAAACATCTGATGCGTTACGAACTGATCATTTACGTTGTGCACATGTTGCGGTTGGTTGTTCGTTAATCCGACGAGAGTGTCACATTATTTATGCAAATACGTGACGGATTTCGCTCGAATTTCCTTCTTCATGTTCGCTCTTGTGTTTCACCCAGTTGATGCCGTAGCTTCAGCATTTGAAGTTAATTTTCAAGTTTCAAAATAATACCTGAATGGTTTCTTGTAATAAAAAGATCCTGATGTTGCCTAGATACGTGCAATAGTGACCATAAATTGATTCGTTCATTGCAATTTTCGTCAGTAATTTGCCGTCTCGTGATACGCATTCATCAAATGACTATCGGTTTTCAAGACAGCTGAAAAACTGTCATAAATAATGAGAAAGGTATGTTGAAAGTGGCGAGCGTTGAACTCTGTGAAGACGTCTCATTACTGCGTTTTGTTGTAATCGTTTTCATTATAAGCTTTTGACACCGAGTGATACGATGCATGCTAAATGTTCCTATTTGACTCATTCACATTAACGATTATTGAGGTGTCGTTTGGTTCATGCGCTAAGCGCAGTGTAATAGTTTTTGCGCAAGAGTATTTCAGCATCAAAAAATAACATTCGCAAAAATTAAATTAATCGGTTTAGGTAGTGATTTTTGAACTGATTTCAGCGTCCATCATGAAAATTCGTGAAACTAGTTGATTTACTGTTAGGTAATGTTTCATTTTCTTTTAGGTGTCGATCTCCTAATTGATTGTTTTTTTCAATTTTCATTGTTTTTATGCGGCAAAACTGGACTGTTTCAAGCAGTTCTGCGAGCAATGAATTGATATAAGCGATTTTCTTGGAGCGTTCACACACGTTTGATCGTTGTGAAAATTTTACGGGCGTTTTTGGTAAGTTCAAGACGGTTTGGTGAAGAACGAATGCTTCTGAGTGGATAAGTTATGCATACAATTCATAAGTTAATGTTGATTCACAAGCATGACGTAATCTGCAAGCCATCAACAGCTGTTCGCAGCAATGTGAAGCGTTTAAAAGAAAGTACCTCAACGTCTTTAATAGTCTATTACTCGAGATGAACAGTTGGTCTTCAATGAAATTACAGTATTCATGATATTACTCCGTTTCGATTTATTGATGCGTCGAACGACGGCACATTTGATGAATAAGTGATAAAAGCCTCTTGTATTCAGTCCCAGCACTAAGCAAGTGTACCTTTTTATTAATTGAAACATCCAGATGAATAATGATCTTTCATGATTTCAATCAAACTTGCCAATGCGAAGACTGCTTATTCGCGTCAATATTTTGCAAAAGTTTGGATTGTGCAACAGATAAATAGCAATTGTCTACTACAGAACTCTGGGTGATCTCTTTCTACGGTGGTTCAGTTGGACTTTGCGTCACTCATTCATTGCTCAAATGCGTTTAGCTGAAATCATTTTTGGTTGATTGAAAGTCGTCTTAAGTCACTCAGTTCACTC